TCTTCGTCATTCATCACTAAAAGCACTATTAACCGAGACTGTTTTCTTTTTGGCAAGTTATCCTTATCCTCTGAGCATTTTTCTGCATTATCTTCAGATCCATGCTCTACCTTTTGCAAAAAGTATGTAATTTTAGATTGCTTGTTTCTAGTTAAAAGATCTTTATAAATTTCCTTACATGGTGCTAAGCACTTATGAAGAATAAAGCAAGTATGGAATAAGGGAAAAACATCTGGCAACACCAAAATCAGAAGCGTGAAGACCTGGCAACATTAAAACAAGTTTCGAGAAGGACCATGTATATCGACAGAAGGCGCGAAAAGAAAATTTACATACTTAAGTACTAATAGTACACGAAAATAATAATTTTCATGAACTATTAGTATATAAGTATGTAAATATTTATTACATTTCATGTTGTATGAGGGTTTTACCCAATTCTCAAACTGTCAGAGTGAATTCGTGCTATAACAGTATCGTGTTATACGGGGATGGTCCCAATTCTCGAACTGTGTTAGAGTGAATCCGTGCTATGGAAGTGCCGTGTTATACGGGGGTTATCTGTATTAATAAATGATCACTAATGAAATATTACATTATCAAATTTCATAATTAAATTCTTATAATGGTTATTAAAATCAAAATTTTTCTAAAATTTCAGTTTAAAAAGTTTTAATTTTTAATATCAAATACAGTAAAACCTGTCTATAACAGAATCTAAATAAAATGTGAATCTGTCTAATTGGAAAAAATTCTCCAGAATATTTATGTTAAATTTTATTAAAAGTCTGAAACCTGTCCATTGTGAAGAGAGGATGTTTTTGGTTATGAAGAAAGTAGCTTAACCTGGTTAGAGTTTTAAATTAAGATTTCACTTGTAGATAAATAAGTAAAATTTCCCTCCAGGTATAGCAATTTCAAATCTTGTCAGAGAAATGAATGTCATATGACAAAGGGAGATATGGACCAATGTCTTTGTTAATATTAGTCTTTATTGGAATTAACTAAGGACAGAATTAAATACTATCAAGAATTAAATGAGTTTCCAAGAATCAAGTTCTCGAGTATAAGCAATAAATGTAATTTATGAAAATAATAAGAATGATTTTTAATAATATGTAGTTTAAAAATAAAAAAGAAAACCAATATCAAAACTTATTCAAAACAGAAAAAAGATATATTAAAATTAATTATTTAAAATGATGGAGTCAGATTATTTTCTAAAATTCTTACGTAATTGTATTGTAAAGAAATACACGAAAAATTAATGTATGGTCACTGGATTAGGAAATTTATCGATGTAATAAAGTGTTTTCTCTGCACTTGAATTTGCCTTTAATTTTTCATTTTTAACTTTTATTTCATTATTTACATAATGTTTTAGAGTTTTAAAGTTATCTGCCCTCCGTAAGTCAAAATGGGAAGAAAAATTGATTTTTCGTGTATTTCTTTACAATACAATTACGTAAGAATTTGAGAAAAAAAGATTTAGTGTCATTGTTTCAAATTTATACGTGTTTTACTTTGTCATATTTTCAAAATCAATACATAAAAATATTAAACCAAATGATCATTGTAATAAATTGGGTTATTTTTTGCTGCAATTAATAATTAAAAATTAAATAATTTGGTACTAGAGGTAGAGATTAGGTGCCATCTCATTGAAATTAATAATTATAATAATTTAATATTTATTAAATAATTTAGAGCAGTCTGGAAGAAAACAATTATATCAAAGATATATAACTATGAGTAACTGTGAATGGGTTATATCAAAGATTTAAGTGTGTCTGGAAGTGAAGAATTGCTTGGAGCACTGTACTAGGCACTGCATGGTAAGCAGAGGTTTTGGATTTGACTCCCACTCTGGGCTGATTCTTTTTCTACCAGACTGTTTCAAATTATTCAATAAATATTAAATCATTATAATTATTAATTTTGATAAGAGAAGGGGCCTAACATCTACTTCTAGTACCAAATTACTTAATTTTTAATTATTAATTGCAGCAAATAATAGCCCAATTAATTACAGCAATCGTTTGGTTTAGTATTAATACATTGGACTTTGGGATATTTATATATAAAATATTAACATAAATAATTAACTAAACTCACTCAGCAAACAATAGACAACTGTCTAGAACACTGTTATATTCTCATTTAACCTATCAAATAGGCCAAAAACATTAGTTACATTTAAATAAATTTTTTCAGCAACTTAAGGTGTAGTTGGGTTATTTGTTAACGTAAATGTCAAAAGTATATTTTAATTTGTGTGTTATGAGGATGAACACATCCAGATTAACCAAGGCATGCTTAACTGATATTCCACATTAACTGAGAGGAATTGATGGAAGAGTAGTTATCAATAAAGATACAAAAATATAATACAATGCATTTCATTTCAAGAATCTGAGCTGGTTGATATATGCAGTATTTGAAATGGGACTATAAAAATGAAAAAGTTTTACTCTAATGACCTTTCATAACAATTGAATTTTAAGAAATTTTAATTATAATAGTCATAAAAAGACAATATAAGATTATTATAATAAAATTAATCATTTTGTATGAAACATTCCATGTTATGTGACTTTTTGATTATCTGAAGAACTCTTGTTCACATTATCTTGCATAATCAGGATACTGCTGTGTGAGATAAGCTGGGGGCATGGGCTGTTCCGTAAATGCCACTTAATCGGCACAGGTTGTTAAAACCTGACCTTGGTGTTGTCAGATGGCTAAAACTTGATAGGAAGGGAAAATCGATTGGGGAGTGCGTGAGCAAGTCGAGAGGTGTCCATTTTTCGAAGTGACAGGAGACAGGTTTAACATATAACAAAATAAAAGTTTATTAACTATAACTAACACCATGATATACAGATCACTATGCAGTTAAATGCGATTATTCTATTGACTAATTTCTAAGCTCTGTCGCATGCCTAATTTCTACTTCAAGAGAGAGTTGACAAAGTTCTAGCCCCAACATACATAATACCTCTTAGTCGTAATAGAGAGTTGTAGGCGATGATCATTGCTTTCTGGAAGAGTCGGAGCTGCTGAAATGTCTTCCAACCTCCTTGGGCTGGATCAAATCCATTGAATGGAGGTCAGGGAGATGAAATGGGCACTATCGCCAATTATAACTTCCACTTCGATTGCGCCTCGAGCTTCCGGTAGCTCTCGCTTTTATCCTATTGTCATGGGAAAGGGATCACCTGGTCGTCAAATGTTGACGATGACGAAACATTTTTGACAGCTAAGTGTCAACTTCCCCATTTGATTGTTATTACAAATGGTGACCTCTGATCAGAATCTTGCAAGGAGCGTTTTTTTCTATTGGATCTGTTTACAATTTGAAAAAAACAATTCACATCAAGTTTTACAATCCCCTTTAAATCTGTTACCTCACAGCTGTATTAAGAGAAGTAATTGTAATGTCTAAAAACAAAATTTGTTTTCCCAAAAATTATTAATTTCGTTACTCACAAATTTAGTATTTAATTTGTTTTTCAAGAGTAAATTCTTAATATGGAGTATTGCATATGTTCATATTAAGGTTTAACATATTCAGGAGTGAGGTCATTTAACATAATTTTTTTATAAAGTAGTTGTTTAAATATAAATTTTCTCTCTACTAGTTAGTTGTATTTGTAAATATTTATTATAATAAATTAATTGTGAATTAGTTATTTTATAATAAATTTTAATATTACATTACTATATATTAACTGTATAGTAATTAAATATTTATAACATTAAATATTCATTTGTTTAATAGTATAAGTATTAATTTAATATACAATATCATAAATGTTTACATATAATGAAATTTAAATTAATTTTTAGGAGGATCAGTACAGAGCAGCTGCCATTCGTGCATTATGCAAAATAACAGATGTAAGTATTAAGTTAATGTAAACTTGTAAAAAGGTTTTAATATTTAAATTTATTTAAAAATTTATTTATTTAGAATATTAAAATAATTTGAAATGGAAAACTGAACAAGTGTTATACAGGGGCTTTAACTGCATTATAAATACTAATAAATTGATGGTGAGATATTAATAAGAATGGAATTAATAACATTTTATCTGAGAAAAGTTCATTAAATAATTTGTAGAATTATATGAAAAATGAACTTATTGTAATGAATTTAATTGATAATTTTATGATTTTCTTATTCGAATCTTTTAATTTGGAACTTAAAACATGCACTCATTTTTACACTCATACTTGAATTAAGAGAATGAAAACATTCTCGAATTATAGAGGTCTTTTTAAATAAAATCATCTTGTAAGGTTTTGAATACGCAAAATTTCTTGATATTTTTGCAGGATGAACATTTTATTGGTGAACTCTATTTAATCCAAACCAATTTTATTTGTTTTGTCAATAAATATTCTTACAAAAAATTAAAAGAAATTGTAGATTATATATGATGAATTTATAAAATTAATGCTTACTATACATTTTAATTTAAATATACAAACTAAGTACAGTATAATTTTTTTAAAGATGTGTATTTGCCTATAGCCTTTAAGCTTTCCTTACTTTGTGTAATCTTATTAATCTTAATGTATAATCCTACTAACTAATTTGACATAATTAGTTGAATTAGTAAAAGTGTACTGAAAGTTAAGAAAAATATTTTCTGAAATTCTTAAAAGAAATACTTCATGCATTATAAGCAAACATTTTTGAAAATTTTTTAAATGTTTAAAATAAAAATTTAGTAATTTTTAAATTTTAGTTGTGATTAAGAATATTTTAAAATTTCAGATTTTTAATTTAAATATTACTATAAAATAATTTAAATAAAAATTTATGAGCATGATGATAAAAGATTTTACATAATATTAATTACTATTATTATAGAGTAGTATGTTACAAGCAATAGAAAGATACATGAAACAAGCTATTGTAGATAAAAACTATGCTGTTTCTAGTGCAGCTTTAGTATCATCATTGGTAAGTTTTAAATATTTATATAGTATTTATAAATTAAAAATAAATTTGTATTTAAAGAATTTTTATATTTTTAGCATTTAATACAAATTAGTCCTGATGTTGTTAAGAGATGGGTAAACGAAGCTCAAGAAGCTGTTAACTCTGATAACATAATGGTTCAAGTGAGTAATTTATTATTACAAATATAAAAATGTTTTATCATTTAAATCTTATGTATAAATATTTCTAATATTGAAACATTCATTTAATTTCCCCAAAAGGTTTTTGTATTGAATAAATTGTTTTTATATAAATTTTAAAAATTAGTAAGTATAAATAAATAAATGACTTAAACAGCTTCTGAAATTTTATTTGAATGATGAAATTTAACATGTAGATCAGAAAGTAAATTTACAAAGTATAAATTTGAAGTATAAATATATAAAACTTTAATGTTATTGATACAAACAATAAGGATTTTATTGTTTACACTTGATATTATATGAATTGTGTGCTCAGAAGGAATATAGGTATAATAATTCATTACGATGATGATGTACTGAAAAACTTGGCTTGTGTGTAAATGTAAATTCATATAATTTTTGTTAGTATAAAATAGATGCAAGAGTTCATTAGGTGTTAAACTCCAGTTTTCATAGCAATAGTGTGATTCTAGAACAGTTACCAGTAACATGGAAAATTCAGGAGTTCTGTTTGGAAATGTCTATTTTTATACTTTCTTTCTTGTTAACATGTTACTTTGTATATATTTTTTTTTTACTGGCATTTTGGTAGTCCATTTTTCCTCTATCTTCTAATTATTAGTTTTACCTTTACACTATCTCTTAACTTGCTTGATTCAGTTAAGAAATTAAGATGTCTGTCTTGCTGATACACAGAATATTTTATTGTAAGCTGTGCAAGTGACTAAACTGTTAAAAATATTGCTTTGAAAAATAAATACAGCACCATGCAAGACAAATTTAACTTAAGTTTCAATATTTTATGCAGTATCTTTGTATATCACAAAAATTTGAAACTCTTAGGGTAAAAGTTAGTAATATAATCAATAACATACTTGAGAATATGTTGCACTGCTCTCTGCATGACATATTTCAAAGATTGAAGAGTGTGCCTGAATGAGGGTCAGTTGTGGATGACATCTTCAAACCATAGATGGTAAACTATATTGTTTGAAATCTCATACATAAAAATTTGTTTAAAAATATTCAAAATTTAGTAATTGTCTATTTATAATCACCTGTTTTTCTACAAGATCCTGTATAAAGGTTTTTAACAGTTAGTTTAAAATTAAAATTAATAAAGATATGCAATTTTTGATCATTATGAGAAATGCATGATGTATGTATTAGATTTATATGATTCATTAAAATATTGAAATAAATTTTTGCTACTTTCAGAACTGATGCCAATTTTGAAATGTAAACAAAATACATTATTTTTATATTAAAAATGAAATATTTAATTAATTTTATATTTAAGTAAAAAATTTTTTTCGTTATCCTATTTGTTATAAAATTATATTTATTGAAATATAAGAAAAATTGTAATTTCTGAAATTTTATTTTTATTATTATTTTTTTTTTTTAGTATCATGCATTAGGATTATTGTATCATATTCGGAAATCAGATAGACTGGCTGTATCAAAATTGTTGGCAAAATATAGACATTCATCTTTGAAATCTCCTTATGCTGCTGGAATGTTGGTAAGTATTATAATCTATATTTCTCATGATGTGAGCTCTGCCAAAATGGGTGAGAGAGAGAAAGCCATTGGCGCACTCTGGGTCTGTGTGTATATACACTACCATTGAATTGGAAATAATTGTTTTCTGTGATGAGAAAGAGTGTGTCTTGAAAATGTAACACTTGTGACACTGGGTATCCAGAATTAAGTAGCAAAGCATTTACAAGCATGATGACATCAAAAAAATTTTTTTTTTTGTAGATATAATGAATTGAAACAAAGATTATCAGTTAAAAAGTATATTAGAAAAAAATAGTTATAATTTATTCTAATAGATACAAAATTTTCTATTCAATTATTAATAATAATTTT